TTAGATTCGGATCCTGGAATGTAAGAGGATGTTCTGATAGAACAAAACAAGAACTATTGGATGAGTGCTTCTTCCGAAAAGGACTCTTAATCATAGCTCTACAAGAAACTAGAATGGCGGGGTGTACTTTAAATACGCCGAACTACTGGTGGTTCAATGTCAATGACGATTCCACGCTAAGGGACAGAGTCGGGGGTGGCACAGCTATATTAATCAATAAAAGGATCTATTTCGAAGGCTGTTTCAAAAAAAATAGTCACAACTCATGTTCTTACCTCTGGCAACTGTTCAAGAGCCCTATCGTTTTTATCTCAACTTACATTAGGAGTGCAGAGATTCGTATTAATAACGAATTTGACACATTGACATATTATGTGTCAAGCCTCCCTAAGAGCTGCCGAGATCGTGTCATAATTGCTGCAGACATGAATGCAAGAATTGGAAAGAATGACCTAGCAGACGTTGACGAAATCTTATGTATTGATGTATTTATTACTGTAATGCGAATGTAATCACTAAGTAAATCGGAATCAGTAAAAGTGCCGTGGGCCAGTCGCAATATAACATCCCAAATCGATCACACACTGATGAATAGGATGAAAGAGTTCGTTTTCCCGGATGTTCGAGCATTTTTTCACCCATCGCTGACGAGTGACCACAAAATGCTGGAGTGTCCGATTGAAGAATACATAGAAGAAATGAAGATCCAAAGGAGAGCAAGTCAGGAGCGCTCGGCATCCTACTAAAAAGGTTAAAATTGATATGGAAAAACTAAAAAATGATGAGGATTGTCGAGAAAGGTACCAACGAATATTGGATCATCAATTAGTAATTGGTATTGATAAGGACCAAAGGCATAACACAGAGCGAACGTGGGCAAACATTTCGGAGGCAATGACGATAGCAGCGACGACAGCAATGGGTGAAAAGAAATCACCTCAGACCCCTCGTAGAGCAGCGGCTTCGAAAAGATATTTTCCTGCTTGTCAAAAGTTATTAGAAGATTGGAACAACGGACTGCTGAAGAAGGAGCGAGCCACTGCCAGAAACCTCAAAGAAGAAGCTGATAATCAACACTTCGAGGAAAAAGTAAAATATTTTCTTGATGAAATTCAAAATCTTAACCCTCTGGAGCAAATGACGCGAACATTCCAATTTATAAAAAAGCATAAAAAGAACAGTAGTCGGAAGAGAAACTCAGATGGTTCGAAGCAGAAAAAGTTGGATTTGCTAGGTTGAATGAAGAAGAAAGCTCTCCACGTACTGAACCCACTCGGATAGAAATTCAAAATTTATTTATTTATTTATTCGTCAATCAATCAAATCGCAGACTACATATTAACATTAGGACTTATGTTCTATGACGTCGCAGGGTTCTGAAATATATTTTTAATTCTGTTGAGGGCATATTTAGGTCAATCATTTCACAATGATGATTATAAACAGTCATCATCTGATTTACCGATCCAAATTTAGCGTAATTGGTCCAATGGCGATCTACTGCGAACAACTGTCGATTGCGTAATTGTCGGGAAGGTGCATACTGCATTCTGTATCTAATGGAAATGTTGTTTACAAAGATGGGCTTTTGTATACCATATTTGCTACATTGCATGAAATGTGTCAGAACTTAACATGATATATAATGTAAACGTATATGATATGTGACGCTCCATTTATGTGCATTATATAGAACAGAAATTTACACTACTTTTTCGAACTGTGTAGCTCCCGGATGCGGTTGGTAATCATGTGAGTTTTTTTCCCGTGCCCTCTGTCGTGACCGGACCGAGGTAGTACGGGTGATGGCAGTCAGGTCCTTCTTGAATTGGATTCCTAATCCGTTGCCTGCGGTACACTGGCGTGGACAGTAAACAGCGATAAACCGGACGTTTCCAGTTGACTTCAACGAGCTTAGGTACTTCATATTTATATCTGCTAACCTATCAAAATTCTCTAACCAATGAGATTCCGTTTACATACGAACTATCACGCTTCACGCTCACTCGATTCTACTCATTATTTATTCAACACTAACTCTATCTACTACATTCTTCCCTTCCCTCCTTAATTGAGGAAGGGGGGCATTATTTCCACCCAGTTGGAGGAATTCCATCTATCCTCTCGGGGGACTTCCATCTACTCTCTCAGAGATATTTCATCCATCATGTCATAATTATTTTCAAACTTGTTACACTGACATTTATTTCAAATTTATCACTATCTGTCATTATTATTCATCAAAATGACTACCTATTTCAATATGATCATTGAAATCAGTGTTACCAATTTCAACCGCGTACATAAATATTACCGTTCTATTCAAGTTTGCGATGAGCTAAAGTAACCATCCATTAGGTCATTGTAAATTTCTTCAGTTTACTTTTCCATCCATCATGTTGTATACATTCTTATTTACCATCAATCAGATCATGGTAATACTTATTAACCATCCACTATACTATCTATTTTGCCTTGAAGTTTTCTCGCTTCGTAAAATAATACATAATTTGCCTCGGAGACCTTTCACTCCGGAAATTTTCAAGAATCCTTATTATTAGTATTTTTAGCAAAGTTTACCATCCTTCATGTCATGGTAAATTTCTTTAGTTCACATTTCCATCCATCAGGTCATGGTAATTCTTATTTACCATCGATCAGGTCATGGTAATTCATATTTACCATCCATCAGGTGATGGTTATTATGCAGCGAAAATTTCCTCAGTATTGTAGTATTGGACCACTCGTTTGATCCGATTTGCAACTTTCTTTCGTTTTGCGGTGAAATGTCTATTAACAAATACTAATTTGATTTAGATTCATTTCTTCTTGTTCTTCTCTGAAATCCTCGTGAGCATACGTCAAAATCTCGACCGAGTTCGATGCACTAGAACTTATGTTGACGTAGTAAGCCATGAATTTGTACAATTTATAAAGCTAATTAGTATCCAGTATTTGCCGTTATCCAGTATTTGCAGTTATCCAGTATTTGCAGTTCTAGATAGAGCTGGAATTAGGGCGTAACAGCTTTTGTAAACAATGACTTCTCTCGATGATTTCTCGTAAGCCATGGCTCTCCCTGGCAAATCGACATCACCATCGAGTAGAGGAAGATTTCCTCTACCCGATGGTTATGTCGGTTTGTGTAGGCGTGCCTAGAATTCCGAGAAATCAACGAAAGAAGTCATTGTTTACAAAGGCTGTTACGCCCTAATTCCAGCTCTATCTAGAGTTGTCCCACAGCTGTCTACAGCAGCAGTTGATTTTTTATTTCGGTGTGAACCACGCGATATCCTGTTTTCGAGACTCGCTATTATATAGTTGCCCTTTGTTCGTTGCTAGCAATTCGGTGCCTTTTGTTGCTACGGTGCAAGATGTGTGAAATAAAAAAACACCAATTTTAGCTTAAACTGATGTAGCGATGCTAAATCAAACATCGGAGAGATTGTAAATTTTGCCAAAGCACTCGACGCGGATCTTGCTGAAATTGAAGCTGTTTATCGCATTGGTGTGGAAAGGGGAGTCTTCATGAAGTTCAAATCAGAGGAAGGGATGCTCCATGCTCTGACATACAATTCGGAGGATAAAATCTCCGCATTCATGCAACGGGAAACGACGTTCAGAAGCAGCAGCAGCGATCACGATTCGGGTTCAATGAAAATGAGGAACAAATTCGGGAAAGAAAGAAGGTGCGTGCACGGGAGAAGATAGCTTTGTCGCCGCTTCGATCGCCACCCAGGAAAAAAACCTAAAATAAAATGCATTTTTATATCTTTTTTTTGTATTTTGAGCACCGACAAACCGACATGACACTTAATTCTGACTTATGCCCGAAAATCGTAAACGGCCGTTTTAAATGTGCAGTGATCAGACCTGTCAAAACCTGTCAAAACCATAGGATTTTTTTTATCTAGATAAAAATAATTCGTCCAGAATAGATCAGACACGAACCAATTTATAACTTTTGCATGCGGGTTCATGGCTTAGCTAAATATTTCCCGCGACACGGAGCCAGATGTCAGATGTATTTTTATAACATTTGAGCCTGCCAAATAAACGAAATGAAAAAATATCCAGTATGTATTTGCTACCTATTAGACGTGTTTCCATTAACTTACTCGTACTTAACAGTAGGTACGAGTTGTTTCAACCACATCGCAGTCGCCCGGTTGCAGCAACTCGAAGTAAAGGCCGGCGCACGATGGATAAGTTTTCAGGTTTTTTGACAGTTAGCCCATGTCTGTCAAAAAAAAAAACCCGGAAACTTATACATTGTGCGCCAGCCTTAAGTTGGTTTGAGAATGAACGTCAAAAACAAGATTGCGAGTTGTTTGTTGCGATCTGTTTCGACCTCTCATTGAACAAAGCTAATTTCGAACAATTTGGAAAGTAGTCTTATCATGTGCGTAGAAGTAGAACTGCTAAAGTAATTCCGGGGAATCAATTTCGCCGATAAAGGTCATAGCAGCAAAGAAAGATAAATAGCTTGTGCGTTGCGTCTTCGTTCCAAAATTTCAATTCCAAGTAGGCGATAGCGCACAGCGGGGCGAGAGCGGGCATAATTTAAAAAAAAAATCAAGTTGTTCGAATCTAATAGAAATACCATACCCGAACAATAATCTTAATGATAGAACTATTCATCAAATTGGTTGGATGGCAACCTGAACACGTCGTTAGGGGCTGTTAAACTACGAATACAGTTTTTTGCGACTCTAGATCCCCCTCCTCCCCCTGCGTCGACAATTGTCCATACAACATTTTTTAAATTTGTATGAACCGTAGAAAATTACCAACCCCCCCTCCCCAAACTCTAAACTTTCTACATAGTTTATGAACAGCCCCTTAAGCAAAATAAGCATACAAATCAGAGAAATCCAAGTTTTCAGAGCAGTCGGTAGAGAAATGTATTTTTGGTGAAATTTCAAAGTACTTAAGTTTTCCAAATTACATTATCTTGTAAAAAAAAGTTGTGATATCTCAGCAAACATTTCCAAATCCCCATTACTTTTCAATTCCATGATTTCACTGCCATATATTTCACGAAAAATCCATCCCCTTTCTTACAAACACATCAGGCGCTTGTAGTTGGTGGGATCCAAGCCGCTGACCTTGTTGTCCGCCGTTCCGAACTTGGCCGCACGATCGTGGAACAGGACATTCTTCGCACCGGGCTTAAACTCGCCAAACATCTCAAACACAACCTCCGTCTTGGCACCGTGGCCAAACTTTTCCGACAGGGCCACGAAAGCATGGGCAATGTTGTCCTCCAGCTGTCCGGTGATGTCCTTCCGCACGTAGATCCCCGTCGGCAAAGTGTAATCGACGTTGCACGTTGCGAAGTTTCCTATCGGCTCCTGCTCCAAACTGGGACAGATCAGGACTTTGTTCGCTCCCAACCGGGTGAGATCCTGAGCGGAAACGATCTTGATTGATGCGTTTGGCGATGAGGTCAGCTTGTTCGGGCAGGACTTCTTTTGGCGCTTGTCGTTGAAGAACAGGGCAGCCGAAACGGCACGGGGATCCGAAGCGTCGAATTCACTGGAAGCGGAATGAAATAGTCGTGAATCTGTTGAGATAAATCAAAGATGAATACTTACAGTGGTGCCTTCAGTATCTGATCCCGGCTGATTCCGCTATCAGCGATCGCGACCATCATGTCCCCTTCGTCGTACTTTTCAAACAGGATCGATTTGAGTCCTTCTGTCGTAGAAGCGTGTTGATTTTCACCCTTCAGTACTACAACATCGGCTTCACCTCGTCGGACGGCTCCGATGCAGCTGTCTTTGCCCTTCAGGACGCATTCCAGCTCTGGACGAACGTCACGCGAGTAGGCAGCCCTGCCCATAACCTCACACTTGTCCTTCTCCAGCTGAGAAGCAACGCAAAGCTTGAGCTTGTTTTCGAATGGTCCATCTCGCTCGATCACGTCCTTGTACTGGGCACGATTCAAATGGTCACCCGGCTGGACCGGAACTTCACGGTCAACTAGAAGATTCTTACGATCGACCCACATCTTGGCAGCCTTGTCGCTGTTGGCTGAATTCTTTGCATCTTCATAGAATTGCTGGAGGCGCTTCTGCAGCCGCTGGAATCGGTTATTGATGTCTCCATTGCCCATGTATCCCTGCCAGGGTCGTTGTGCCCACGAACATGCGGGTCCCGTGATGGGGCGAGTCGAGCCATCTTCACACAAGTAGACGTAGTCCTCGGTACGGGCTTTCGGGTTCAAGGCCGGTTGAGCTGGAGCACCTCCTATCGGGAGACCGAAGTACTTATTCACGTAGATCACCTTCGTAAACGCAACGTCACCATTGTTTTCAACCAAGCACCGGATGGCTCCGTCGTAACCGGAGTACTTGTCCGGGTAGTCGCAAACCTCCGGTCGTTCACAAAGCGCACACAAATTCGAGTAGCGTTTCTTCAGCAGCCTGTTCACTTCATCGTTCGGGGAGTATTTCCCAACCAAGCACGAGCTTCCGAACAGATCGGATAAACCTTTGAGTTCTTTCTCAAACGGAGACAGTTCTGGATCTTTGGCCAACTTGAACACTCCAGCCGCCTTCAGCTTCGTGATGGGAATTTTATATCCCACGTTCCTTCCGTAGCCCGTGTGGCAAGACTTCTTGCCACTGAGATCAGCTAAACTCCGGAAATTGTCGCTCTTCCTCACCAGAATGATTCCTTCGTAGCGGAACTCGGCCTTTGGTTCGTCCTGCGTACGGAACTCAGTAAATATACTGAAATCTTGATTGGCCATGTGATAAGCCACGTACATATCTTCCGGATCGACGGCTACAAAATCCGCTTGACGTGCATTGACTTTTTCCAGACATTCCATACGATCGCGCCCGGCTATGCACTCGACTTGGACGGCAGCATCCGGTTTGACCATCAGTTCCCGGCAGGCATCGATTATCTGATGCGGTACGCACAGTTTGAACGTTTCCTTCTGACCATTGCTGGAACCGGTCCCGATCAGTAGCAGCAAAGCTACTGATAACACTATCGGCAACGACATGATCACTTCCGAATTCGAAAGTCAACTAACAACCGACTCGTTGCCGAGGCCGGCTTTATATAGATAATAACGCTTCATCGCGGGGATTCCCGGGGCCGCTTCGATCTTGTTGCTGGCTGCAAGTTTGAAGATTTACGATCGGTGTGATCGTTTATAGTCGGGGCATAGTGATTATGTGAGGATTTGAGTACGCCGCACTGGCAACTATCGGGTGGCTGACCCTAGGCTAAGGTGGATCGCACGTACATCGCATGCAATCGCTGGATCGAGTTCCAGAAGGAGAAGCGAGAATCATACATCAAACGTTGACATGCCAATTCAAATATTATCAACCGTATAAATTCTGGAAATCTGGCATTATTATTAAAAAGGACCTATCAGCCTTTGTGAATAAAATTTTCCGCGCGAACCGAAGTACGCCCACGCAAACCAAGAACATTATAGGAGAATTTTCCACACCCGATGGTGTTTTTGGTTTGTATGGGCGAGCTTCGATTCGGGCGAAAGGAGCATTACGTGTTTTGTTTACAAAAGTGGATAGGCCGTTTTCATATGTCAAAATAAGAAATCACCGTCCGTTTTCTGTTCACTGTGGGTTGATAACGAGAGGTTATAGGATGGGCGCGTCCGATGTGGCTTATTAGCATAAATTCGCGTCTTGAACACGTTCTGCACAGACGATCGTATGGTGAGCGAAATTAATTTAGCTAAACTCGTTCAACTGCTTGAGACTGTGGGGAGGATGGCTACATGGAGTAATGGGATTCCGCCGCGGGGAAACCCCGGCATCATGTCCCAATCGCTAAACGATTTTTATTTTATTATGAGCGGGTATTTCTTTGTTATGAACTGATCTGTACTTGTACGATGTGAAATTTATATTGCGCATTTCACAACAAACTCTGGGGGCAGTCCAGTTTCAGATGCAATCAGCAATAACAATGTTCAAATGATCACTGAAAGCCAAGAAAGTCATGCCGCGAATAAGCTAATCTAGTTGGCTATGACTATATTTATTTGATTTGGTTATCAAACATACAATGCTTATAAGTAAGCGTCGAAAACTTTAGAATTTTTTAGAATGCATGTAACTTTAATACAACTGACAATAAAACATGAAGATATTATAAAAAAAAACAATAACACTGTCATGTGTTATAATATAACACATGACAGTGTTATTGTTTTTTTTTATAATATCTTCATGTTTTATTGTCAGTTATATTAAAGTTACATACATTCTATAAAAAATTCTAAAGTTTTCGACGCTTACATCTGCAAAATTTGTATCAACTAATTAAAGGAACATTTTGCCTAACTGTTTAATCAAAGATTGTTTTGTTGCTCTTGTAAATGTTGAGAAGACTGAATACATAAACTTTTCTGGTTCCATGCGACGAAACCTAGGGTCTAGATGAGCTAATAAAGACTTCTGATAGAACCAGACATTACGACACCTTGTGCACTTGAAGATGCGATGAACGATAGTGGTAATTTCTCCTGGACATATGGCACATAATGGGTCGATTGTTGGATTTTGGCGATGAAGGTTGTGGGGAAGCCTCTCATGTATCATTAGATACCACGCTGACCGTTGCTCAGCTGGAAGCAGGCTGGAGTGAATGTTTTTAAAGACCGCTTTCCAGTTTATCTGCGAGTCGATGAAGGTCGGTGGATCCGGAAGCAGCTAAAGGTAATGTTGGTACAAACCACTCGCCGTCAGGCTCTCCAAAAGATTGGAGGAGAGATATGACATTTCCTGCAATGCCAACCTAGCGTGCTGAAATTCTGCAGGGATACTTGGGACGTTCGGTGGATTACCAGATCCTTCCAGAAAATCGGCTAGCAGTGTAAGTTGATCCAATGACTTTACCAATCGATTCAGTAGAAGAGCTTATGATTTCAACGCTGGAGAGTGTAGGTTTAAACCACCACGGTTTTTGGGAAGCGTAAGATTTTGAAAGGAGATCTTGAACTGTTGAGGGTGCCCCATCCACAGGAACTTTCTCAGCTCAGTTATAATGCGAGCTTCGTAGTTTTTTGGCAAGAACACGATAGAAGCCACGTACCACATTTTTGAGCACACATACGTGTTTAGTAGTGTCACTCTTAGAGTAAGTGGCAAGTTTCTGGGACTTTGTTCCCAAATCCGCTGTTTCATACCCGATAAGATCGAATTCAAGTTGAGATCTCTGGCAGTTCGGGTATTCTCGCAATAAAAGATACCTAGGATCTTGACGTGGGTCTCAAGTGAGAGCCACTCGGTAGCTTCAGTTAAGTTGATGTTGCCTATCATTAAACCCACAGTTTTGCTTCGGTTGAGAATTGCTCCTGCTTCTTCACCAAAGTTTGTGAACAGCTCAGAGACTTGCACTAACATTCCTTCGTTTTTCAGGAACATCGAGATGTCATCTGCGTAAGCATTAATTATCACACCAGGAAAAGCTCGCCTTAATACGTCCAAGAGAGGTTGCATCTACAGTACAAAAACTAACATTGACAAGGGATCTCCTTGACGGACCGAACGCTGGATGTGGATTTCGGGAGTTAGATGACCATTCACTAATATCCTCGAAAAAGAATTCTCCATGAACTTTTTGATGAGTCCTACTAGTGCCGGATTGAAATTCATTCTTAACATTGTTTGCTGAAGAAATGAATACTCAACGCGATCAAACGCGTGGTCCAGATCAAACGAAATTAGCAGCGCGTTCTGATGCCGGTGCTTCAATTCAGATATCCTATCCCAGATTTTTGTCGTTGCTTCGAAGATAGTTTTGGAGCCATTCGAACACTTCTGATCAGCGGATAGCACCAATGGAACAAGTTTTTCCATGCGCTGTTTCAGGATACGCGAGACAGTTTTGAAGTCAAAATTTAACAAAGAAATGGGACGAAAGGCGGACATATCTTTTTTGGTACCCCTTTTCCGTACAAGAACTAATATACCTTCAAGAAAGTTTTTTGGGAGCGTTACCTGACAAGGCGTCGTTTATGACAAGTGTGAATTCCCTCGAAATTATCCTCCAGCATTCAGGTAAAATTCCTTGGGTAATCCTAAGAGGAAGAGGTGACAATTGGCTTCTTCCTCTTTTATTTCTATCTCTATCTCTATCTTTATCTGTCTCTATCTCTATCTTACGCACATGAAATCGGCCAATCAGGAGCTGGTTCACGTTTGACAGAAAAGTGGTTCATTTTCGCCCCCGTATTGTCACCTCTTCTCTTAGGGGTAATCCGTCAATGCCGAGGGATTTTTTTTGAGCAGCTCGATTTAATTGCAGCGAAAACCTTCTCCTCCTCAGCATTTCTCATGATCGATATGTTTTCCTCGGTATCATTTGGGATACTTCTAGTCGGCAAGAACCTCCCTGGGCTTTGGCAAAACCTTGAGGGCTAATCTGGATCTTTACCACATTGGAAAGATGCACACTAGTGTTGCCAGATCAGTGTTGATGCTTACCAAAAGTGCATTTGAACCCGCTTATAAAAGCATATTAACAGATTAATCATCATCGTACATTGTTTATTGCTCTGTACTAATAATAAATGATTAAGCGCAGCGTTTGATATTTTAGTAGGAATGCTGAATTTAGTCGCAGTAGAAATCAATCCTTTATTGAATTGGAGTTATTTCTATGGATATGCACGTTTGGAAAGTATCATCACAAAGATTCTGCACTCGGTCTACAGCTTATCGGCGGGAAGCGTTGTGTTTGTTTTTGTTTTTTTTATCTATTTATAGAGTCAATTCTTAGAAATACGAAGCGAAAAACAAATCAAGCATTAAGCACAAACCTTCAAGAAAACTAACAACACGAAGTCTGGAAATGGCAATGTTTTATTCAAAAGGTCAAATATTTCAAGAATATCGGGTGAGACCAATCGGACTGAGCGCTCTTTCGGTCATCTGGAAGGGTTGTGCACGAGGAGCGATTTTAATCCCCCCAGTTTTGAAGACATTCCGGATCCATTATCCAGAAACACAATACAACAAGAGAAGGAAGTAGTATTGAAGGTAAACAAGGAGTACATGGGAACGTCGAAAACTGTAAGTATACTCCGATCTATTCTAGTACTCTTGTATTAAACCTATTGTAAACCGGCTAGATCGTAGTCGTCGTCACCGGGAAGCATAGTCATGTAAAGATTGCCAGATCCGTGACCACTCATGATAAAGCACACAAGGCTCTCAACATTAAATACATTGCACGGGTTGGGTCGCACAGAGGGTTGATTAGATGTAACACCCGCATAAACGATAACCATAAAGAGTGCCTAACAACCTATCCGGGTTATCATCCCAACAATATGTGGTACAGTGGCACGATTTGTGGTATAGTTCATGTATGGTTCTTCCCCCACCCTTTATTAGGGTCGCTGACGCTCATTGCACGCTCTTTCGTTCTCCGGCTTATTGAATGGATGACGGAGTTTGACGTCACACTCCTTCAGACGTTTAGGAGGCGGGAGGGCGAGAGGAATGGTTGTTCAGTACACGGAGACAATTTAACAAATGTATTTCTAATAGGTAAATCACAGTTTAAAACTCACTTATAATCACTTTCAATCTCTTTTAATTTCTTTTTCATTGACGGTGTGATGTAATCGATGCGCTCTGTGACGAGAGCGCAAACCAAACGAGGCCATTTTTCAACGATACGATAATAACTTATACGCTTTTCACACAAAACCTACCCAACCATTTCCTTTCTACAATCCCTGAGCAGCTGGTTTACCATAAGTATACCTCGCAGAACTTTTTTAACCCCCATGGGTAAACATGCTGTGTTGCTCACTCCTCTCCCCTTCCCTGATGTATTATGGATGGTGTGAATATTCACATCGGTGACATGGCCCCTGACCCCCTTGTACATCATAAAAATGAAAATGATACTTCTAGTCGGCAAGAACCTCGCAGTATTAGAGGTTTAACCAGCAGCATACAGTTGATTGAAGAAACGGGAGACTTCAGCATGAATTTAATTTATATCCATCGTAACGTTGCCATTTCGAAGTTCGAGCAAATTGATGCTTGTTCG